TGCCTTCCAAGGTATGAAGCACTAGCTCTGCAGCAGCTGCAGGGGTCGTGATAGTAGCCTACGTGTGAATACAGATGTTACAGAAAATATTGGAGGTGATCTAGACAGTTTCAGCCTAGCAGAGAAATCTCTATACTTGTCTTTCATTCCACCTTTTCTTTTTCTTTTTCTTTTTCCAAATGTGTTTTTATTGTTTTCAGAGAGAGGGAAAGGGAGAGAGAGATAGAAACATCAATGATCAGAGAGAATCATATATTGGGTGCCTCCTGCACACCCCCTACTGGGCATGGAGCCCACAAGCAGGACATGTACCCTGACCTGGAATTGAATTGTGATCTTTTGGTTCACGGGTCAACGCTCAACCACTAGCCAGGCAATTCCACCCTTTTTTGGATGCCTTCTCCAACAGGGCTCTCGGTATTTCACCCTTTCCATTTTTAAGAGGGTCTGACATTAAAAGCTCTCATATTTTTTTCTGGCTTTTCCAGGAAGGTATTTGAAGATAGCTTTATACCTTTTCTTCAACTTTCACAGTGACATACCCCTAAATTGAGACAAAAACATTCAATTTTTACTTATTCTAAATGTAATATTGTTATCAATATTGCCAATGTGACTCCAAGATTCATAACTATTTTAAATGGTTTCTATATATAGACTGGCTTAAAACATAGTGAACCATTTCTTCGTACTTTGGTTCAAGCATTTCATGGTCGACATAATCCTAAATGCCTTGGTCATCCTAACTGTCTGCTTCATATTAAACCTTTGTGTCCACAGAATGTTTCTGGTCATTATTACTCTGTGGCCTTACAGCTAAATCTGAGGGATGGTGAAAGCAAGTTAAGCCGGCAAGGCCTTCTACTTTATATCTTTCCTTGAGATTAAGTACAGAATGACATGGCTTAATGATTTGCATTTTAATTTATCAAAATTTAGAACGTCCTTCAAGCCCAGAGCCAAAAGTGGAGTTACAAGCTTACAGGAAACCGAACAGTTCTATAATCATTCAAATAAAATTGCTGGCACTGGCCAAAACCGACTTGGCTCAGTGGATAGAGCGTAGATCTGCGGACTGAAAGGTACCGGGTTCAATTCCGGTCAAGGGCATGTACCTTGGTTGCAGGCACATCCCCAGTGTGCAAGAAGCAGAGAATTGATAATTCTCTCTCATCGATATTTCTAACTCTCTATCCCTCTCTCTTCCTCTCTGTAAAAAAATCAATAAAATATATTTTTTTAAATTGCTGGCACTGTACTCATGTGAACAAGAACATTATATTAATATATTATTGTTATGCCATTTGAAATATGGATGTTTCCTGGCAGGTAGATTACAAAAGCAACAGATTATACCTAAATATTTTAAGCCTTCTTGGGGAAAGCTGACTTCTTTCATTTACATCCTGAATATTTGTTTTATATAACTAAATTTTTATTCCATTCAGTTGAAACAATTTGGAAGTTATTGGAAATGCTGAAAAACTTGGTTTGTAAACTTTTAGAATGATCCAAACAGTCTCAGATCACCACATTATAATCAATGATCAACATTTATTTATTATAAAAGAGAAAACAAGTGATAATATATATATATAACATATGTATATATTATCACTCAATATATATGCTCCTTTGAAAAATTATAAAATATAATTCAGTCTTTATCTCTAATTACATTTTTTTCAAAAGTAGGGGGATTAGAAAATATGTGATATGTTCTCTCTCATCGATGTTTCCAGTTCTCTATCCCTTTCCCTTCTTCTCTGTAAAAAATCAATAAAATATATTTTATTAAAGAAAAAAAAAGCCAAAACTGGTTTGGGTCAGTGGATAGAGCATCAGCCTGTGGACTGAAAGGTCCCGGTATCGATTCTGGTCAAGGGCATGTATATTGGTTTTGGGCACATCCCCGGCAGGGGATATACAGGAGGCAGCTGGTCAATGATTCTCTCTCATCGATGTTTCTAGCTCTCTATTCTTCTCCCTTCCTCTCTGTAAAAAATCAATAAAATATATTTTTAAAAAAGAAAATATGTGATATGTTTCTAAGTAAAATTATGCCATTGTTGAACCCACAAAGCGAAGAACATATAACAATGTACCAAAGAAGGAAAAAGTAATTTCATATATGCATGACTATCTATTTAGGAATTACAGATATAATAGCAGTCAAAAGAAATTTTAGAATTCAATAAATGTTTAGAAGCTTAAGACAATTAATGAGTTTAAATTGTTGAATTTTGAAATGAGAAATAAAATGCTAAAATAATGACAATATTAATTATAGTGTTTACAAAGGCTTTGGGATTTTAAATATGCCTGGGTCTTCTTGAAGCACATAAAATTAAAATAATGCAGTCACAATTTGTTTCTTAACTGTTTTATATTCAGTAATTTTTAATGAAGCAACTAAATTAGGCATAACTTAGTACAGCTTTAATGCAGTTATGATGAATCTATTTTACTTGATTAAAAATGATAAAACCAGGGAGCCTTAAATATTATCCTAAAAGATTAACTACTGCGTCAATTACAAATCTAGGGGAAAGGTATTTATAAGGGAATAACTATTCTGAACAGTAACTTCCTTTTGTTCATTTCATTTAATTAAAGACTCAATCAACTTTCATTCTTAATACTAAAATTTTCCTAAATTACACATTGGCCAGGCTAAGTCAGTTTAACACTAGTGAAAGTTCAGCAAGTAATCCATTTTTTTATTTAATTTGGGTAGGTAATGAACTACTTAGCAGTTTAGAGTGATCTAATTAACTGAATAATCACCAATTCTACATTGCATTTTATTTTACATGGCATAATATGAATAAATAGCAGTAAAAATCAAATTATATGAGAACCTAAATGATGATGAGGTCTGCTCTGCTAACAGGTACATTGAATAGAAGCCTCAGTTCCTTAAGACTGAGTCCATGAAGCAAATATTTTTATGTCTTTGAGGATGACCATTTCACCAAAGTATTTACAAAGTTTCCAATTGTAGAAAGTAGATATGATTATCTGTATGATATGTTTGTTTTGTTCAATGAAAGGAGAAACCTTGCAAAGAAACAGTTTTTATCTATTTACCTAAGGCCATGGCCACAAACTGCCGCTTTGGAGCCACTTGCGGCTCTTTGGCCTTTGAGTGTGGCTCTTCCACAAAATACCATGGCCTGGGCCAGTCTATTTGAAGAAGTGGTATGAGAAGAACTTGAAGTTTTAAAAAAAAAAATTGTCTTTCCAAAGAAATTTCAATCCTTGTACTGTTGATATTTGGCTCTGTTGACTAATGAGTTTGCTGACCACTGACCTAAGAAATACAAATAACTTTACTTACATTTAATTGCCAATCTTCTCTAAATTGGTAAATGTCTTCTCGGAGCAATTACAATGAGCAATTCCTCCCTCCTAAAGCCCTGCACCATGATCAAATAAACAGCACCACGTGATCAGATCTTCTGGCTTCAGCCTTTTGCCTTCTCACTAAGGTAGCTACACCTGCAAACTGGGGCTATTATCCTTGAGACATGTGGCCCAACACCAGGAGATTCTCCAAATGCTAACACAAATCAATTTCTTTGATTAAAGAAAGCATTAAAATCTTCAATTATTTTTAAAAACACGAGAGATCTCAGTACTTTGATTTTGCTTGTTTTTAAGTTTGGGAGCAGGAAGCATCTGAAAAAAAAGTGATTTTTTTAAAGGGATCAGACTGGTACTCGCATAGGACTGCATTTTGGTGGAGCTCAAAGTGAGGAAAGTTGATTTGCATTATTCTACCACTGTAGCTGAAGCGTCCTGCCCTGGAAACCCTCGCCAGACAGGAGGAGGGGTTAACAGAAAAAGGACTCTGCAGAGCGCTACCATAAATCCAAAACTAACTCTCTGAGGAGGCCCGCAGGCTTTGCCAGAGAGGGACGCAACGGTGGGACCTGGAGAGTCCCGCGCCTCTCGCCTCTGAAGAGCCGGCCAGCGTCCTCTCCCTCCTACTGGGATCGTAAAAGAATGTCACCTGCATGCACATCGGCCCGCCTCGCTCTGCGGGTCCTTCTCATCCTCTGCCCAGTTAGGACGGTCTCTGATGTCCATGTCCAGCCTTGGCCGCCTCCAGCTCCGGCGTCCTGAACCCCCGCCCCTCACCGCCCTGCGGGTCCCCTCCCCCGCTGTCCCCGCCCCTCCGAGCGCTCCCGGTCGCTGATTGGCCACGGCGCTGACAGGAGGCGGGGCCTGGGAGTCCCGGCCAAACCCGCCCCCGCGTATAAGCCCCTTCTGGGCTCCCTCTTTCCATCTCCCTCCACTCTCTCTCTTTCTCTCTCGCTCCCTTCCTCCCTCCCTCGAACCGAACAGTGAACATTCACATCGTGGATCCGCTAACAGGCACAGATGTCATGTGAAAACGCACATGCTCTGCCATCCACACCTCCTTTCTTTTCTATTTCCTCTTTTTCTCTCTCTCTCTCTCTCCCCTTTGATTCTTCTCTCCCTGGTCTTTGTAACTAACAAAACCACCACCAACTCCTCCTCCTGCCGCTGCCCTTCCTCCACCACCTCCTCCTCCTCCTCCTCCTCAGTTCAAGTGATCACAAAAGAAATCTTCTGAGCCGGAGGCGGTGGCATTTTTTTTTTTAAGCAAGCACATTGGAGAGAAAGGAAAAAAAAAAAAAAAGAAAAAACAAACAAAAGCAAAACAAAACCCAGGCACCAGCCAGGCAGCACATTTATTTTTTCCACCCTTCCTGAAAACAAACAACCAAACAACCACCCAAACAGTCATCAGCACCATCATCAAAACTGTTAACCCAGCGGCGGCGGCGGCGGCGGCGGCGGCCAACGTCACCCTCCGGCCACAGCGCCCGCCTCAATGGTTTTCTCCGCGGAGCAGCTCTTCGCTGACCACCTTCTTCTTCCCTCGTGCTGAGCGGGATTTGGGGGCTCTCCGGGGTGCGGGCTGGGAGCAGCTTCATGCCTACGCGGAGCGGGAGAGCAGCGGCCACACCATGCGAGGTAAGCGCGCGAGCCCGCGGCCGCCGAGGCTCCTCTGGGCGCCGGGGCTGCACGGGTCCCGCCACCTCTCCAGCCGCACGGGGCGCCGGGCTAGGGGCGTGCACCCAGCCAGCCGAATGGTCCGAGGGTGGCGGGACGCAGTCCGGACTGGGTGCTCTCAGGAGGGCTACCGATGGCCCGGGCGCGGAAAGTTGTGGGGAGGAAGGTGGTGGTTGTTGCCTCTTGGGAGTTCTGGAGGGGCGCGGGAGGGCGCTTTTTGGAGAGAGGGGAGCGGAGCGACTCGAGGTGCTTCTTCCCAGCCCTGGAGTTGCTCTGGACGCGTTTGCAGGTAGCTCTCGGGGACGGAAGCGGGCGCGGGATGCAGGGAGAGCCGGGAGCGGGTAGGTGCTCCCCCGGAGCGGCTGGAAGCGTCCGGCGCGCTCGGCGGTCCCGGGCCGGGGTGGGTGGGACGCGCGGGGCGCACCCGCGGTTGGCGGGGCGGGAGTGCGCGAACACCCCCCCCCCCCCTTTAAGTGACAGAACCCCCCAGCGACCCGGGCGGCCGAGGCGTCCCTTCCTGGCGGTGGTAGGAAGAGATGGGGTGTCTCGGAGCAGGGATTCAGGTTCGGGATGGTCCCCAGCGCGCGTCTGCTGCGCCCAGGCCGGGTCCGCGTGCTCGAGCTCGCGCAGACCAGGGAGGGACGAGCGCCACCCCGAAAAAAAGTTCTGCGGAGAAAGTTCCAGAGGACAGGAAAGCCTGCGTCACCCGCGGTGGAAAAGGCTCTTTGTCAGAGGCCTGCTGGCTGTGGGAGCTGGAGCTGCGGCCGTGCTGGGGCCAAGATCCCTGGCCGCGCCCCGGACCGTGGACCCCCGGGGCGAGCGGGCGGCGCGCTGGGCACGGAGACCAGACGCCCGCTGCTCCGGCTGCACTTGGGGCTGCTCGGGCGGCTCCCCTGGCCGGCTTTCGGGAGCCCCTGTGTTCCTCTCCTCCCCTGCAGTGACGGACCTGCAGGTTTTCTGCGCGATGTGTCCGGACCCACTCGCTTCCACTTTCCACTTGGCCACAACTTCGCTCTTTCCTCGGAGGGAGAGCAGGACGGGTGCCTGCGTGCTGCAGGGATCTGTGCGGCTCCGGCTGGGCCCTAGGAATTGGGGCATGCAAGCCCCAAGCCCCCCAGTTTTTCTCTCTGGCCACTCTTTGGAAAGGAGGGGGGTCATCTCTTCTTCCCCGCACATGTCCCTCCTGGTCCTGACTACAGAAAGTTGGAAATGGCCAACTCTCTTGGGATGGGATGGGACCTTCCTATTTCCCTGACCTATTGGCAGGTGGGGGAGGCAGGAAGTCCTTGGGAGGGGTAGTCTGTAAACACTCATAGCTTCCCACTGGGCTGTGTTCGCCTGCCACCCATTCCCCCAACACCTCTCTGGAAGAGCATTGAGGGGCTGTGTGCACCCCTCTCTCCCATCCCCACCCCGAATGGGGTGAGCCCAGGCCTGGATGCTCAGGACAAGAGAGTGGGCTAGACCACTGTAGCAAGCAAGGAAAAGAGGAGGAGGAACGGAGAGGGTGCATAGGGAGATGAGGGCGAGGAAGGTGGCTGGAGATAAAAAACAGGGGTGTCCTAGCGGGAGGGTCTTGACTGATTCCCCCACCGGGAGTGGGGGGCCCATGAGTACGAGCTGGTTCCAGTTTAGTGCCCCAGTTGGGGGCTGGGACACATGTTCCACTGTCCAGACTCAGAAAACGCATCTTTTTTATTTTCTTTTCTTTTTCTGTCCCATCTTATCCCCATCCCCTCCCCTTTAGTTTTCTCTGCTGGGGTCGGGGACTGCTACTTCGCCCCTCCGTTCTCCTCCCCTTCCAACACTCCTCCTTCCCGGGGCTGGGAAGGTTCAAAACCACCCACCACCTCGGTTCAGACTGGGTCCTAGTACCTGGGGCAGACAAGCCACTCACTGTCCTCGTAAGCTGCAGAAAACAGGAGTGTGGGATTGGCGGGCTTGGATGGAGCTGGATCGCGCTGCTTCTGAAGGAGCACTGGGCCAGCGAGGAGGATCTGGGTCCAACCCGGCTTCCCTTTGGGGACCAAGCAGCCTAAAGGGTGGGAAGCTGGGCGCCAGCCTCGTGCTCCTCAGGAGGACCCAGTCTCAGCCCCACCTGAGTTCTAGAGGGCGCCACCCAGGCCAGGCGCCCAGGAGCGCTGTCAGGTTCTAACTTAAGGCGGCTCTCCGGGGGCTTGGTGGCGAGCGATGGCGATAGAAACAGGCTGAAAAGGTGGTGGTGGCATCTTTCTCTCGCTCTCCTTCTTTTTGGTCTCTCTTTCTTTGACCCCTTTCCACCTCTCCTCTGCCATCGCTGTGTGTTTCCTGCAGATCTTGCCCTCCTGCGCCATCGAGGCTGTTCTTAAAGGATGGGTTGAGAAAAGGGTCCAGACTACTCAGATGTCTTGTGGGAATCAGGGGTTGAACTTGAATGTGAACTTGAGAAGTGAGAGCGGAAACGAGCCTGCGTTCTCTTGTGCCCAGGCTGCTCCGCGGCCTGTATTGGGGGTAGAAGGGCGGTTTTGAGTTAAGCTTGTCCGTGTGCCCACTCTGTTCCCCCAATACTCAACACTGCGCACACACTCCCCATCCCCAGGGCGTCCCCAGCCCCTTCAGAGTCCCCGCCTGGGCTCCACCGCCTGCAACTGGTGACTATTCGGAGTCAGGCAGGGAGTCGCAAACTTGGTCCTGGACCGAGGGGTCGCTTGCCCTCCAGACTAACTCAGCAACCTCCCCCCCTCCCCCGCCTCCACCCCTCCAGCCCTCCACCTCCAAGTCTGCGATATTTGAGAGACTATCCGGAGGAACGCGCTGGGGTAAGAAAGGGGTTAGGGAGCGCTGATCTTTGAGGTCATTGTCCTGCTCCACAGTGGAACTGAGTCCCAGCCTCCCTGCTCTGGCTCACTCGGGGCCTGGGGCGGAGGAGGTTGTGTTTGGTGGCGCACAAAGCATTTCCCCCTTTGTCTGCTAGGGGGTACCGCATCAGTTCCATACACGCTGCTGCTTCTTAGTAGATTGCATTTTCAGGAACTTCCGAAGGCGGGAGGGGGGACTTGTAATTGGGTCCATCCATAGGTGAGAAAGGTGTAAGCCAAGGCGTGGGTTGCAAGACTCCTTCCTGAGAGTCCTGTCAGCTGTTTATGCTACAGGGGGGCCAAGATGGTAGGCTTTTCCAGCCCTGCCTGGGCAGAAAACCCTGTTTCCAAACACAAGGACACAGATGTCCTGGCAATCAATAGCTGATTGTGGCTCCCAGGATTAGAAATCTGGTTTTATGCTTGCTGTAAACAGGGATGGGGCTTGGTTTTTCTAAAGCCCAGATTTCATTTGTTCTATTCAGGTAGTTAGTTTTTATTCATGGCTAACTTTAGGGAAAGGGGGGGAAGGACGCTTGCTTTTGGAGGTATGGCAGCCCTTCTGAAACCTGGAGCTCAGAATGTCCTGCTGGCCAGGCCTTTAGATTCTCTGACAAGTTCATAGCTTCCTCCACCTATTCCAGTCAAATGTCTAACAAACATTCCACTTCCCACAGCTAAAAAATATTATTGGGAGGACATCTCTGTCAGTAGACCATTCATAATAGCTCATTAAGTAATTATCAGTAAGCTGTCTTTATTCCAAGAAAGATAAACATTCAGACAGTTTAAAGAAAAGTCCTAAGGCTATATTTCAAGTGTTGTTGAAAAATAAGGAGCCACAAACATCCCCGGTGAGTAATAAGCACATATTGTGACACATAAGAACCTGACATCTTAGGTTTCTGGAACACTTAGAACACCCACCGAGCCTTTTTACTCTTCTGTATATTCAGAAAATCAGAAATTGGGAAACCAAGATGGAATATAAAAGAAGAAATTTTGAGAAGCAGGCCTCATAAACATGAAGAATAAAGATTAAACTCCTTTGTTAGCATTCATTTAAAACTTAGTAGTGGATTTTTTCCGTCAACAACAGGATAGGTTTTGATCATTAGAACTCCCTTAAAAGATGATTCCTTGCATCATTATTAAAGTGGTTTATGTGAGGTTTTACTTTAATTTAAATAACACTTATTTTATATTCAATCAAATAATGAGTGTTAATATTTATTTTAGTAACAACTTGTTAAATATCAAATCATTAACAGTCTTAAAAGTCCTCATCCAGGTGTGTGTTTGCCTTTATTGTATTTTATATGTGTTTCAGAGTCATGAGATCAAATTTTATAGCACTACGTAGATGTGAAGTTTTAGGGTCTGTCTTCATGAAAATGATATCAAAAAAGTGTAATAATACTTTTTTCTAAAAGTAGCATATGCAGAATTATTCCATAAGTGTTTCTAAGTGATTCAATATAAGAAATTTTTCCAGATAAAAATACAAGTAAAACTTTTTTCAGCTATTAGTTCACATTTTATTCTTGTAACCACCTTTTAGAAATATCATGTGGCCTGTGTCATTTTTATACTTTTGCTACATTAGTCCTAAAAATAAAAGTGTGACTCGCAACAGATTAACTAGATTTTTTTTTCACGTAATAATGATATACGTCTAATTTAAAGTACATTGCATAGCATTCAACTAACACGGAGGTAAAAATTATTCTAATAAATTATTAAGTTTAAAAATTCTATATGTGTGGGTCTACTGGTACTCTGCAAATTTAGTAAACTGAGGTTTAAAATTGTGAACAATAGCATCAATGCCACTGTACATTGGTGAAATCCAAGCCTTACAGATAGCTATACGAGGAGACAGGAGAATTAATGCCAAAGTTAAGACCATCAAATTCTAGACAGATTGAAACAAATAAAAAGTATGATTGCATACATTATTAGTGATAAAGTTATTCGTGATTGAGGTGACGTAAAATATACTTTATATCATTCTAATATTATGAAGAAAATTTATTGATTAAATAATTTCTGTATCCTATTCAAACAAAAAAACCAAAAACATGGATTCTAAATTACATTGCTATTAATGTAACTGATATTAAC